ATGTATGTATGTATGTATGTATGTATGTATGTATGTATGTATGTATGTATGTATATATATATATATATATATATATCTGTATGTTTGTGTATATATAAATGTAGATGTATGTATACACACATATATATTTATATATATATACACACATTTTTATATATGTGCGAGATTTGAGGGCTCGCTCAATCTTGGTCCTTGGTCCCTGCACGCTGCTGGGCCCCATCACAATGACGAATGGCGTGAGGAGCTGACGGAGTTTCAATACGAACTATCGCGACTGGCGCCCAGGGTGAGACAACGTAACGAGTGCATTATGTTTAGTGCGAGTGGCACTTGGGCACCTGCGGCGGGCATACTCGCACCGTCCGCGGCCATTTTGGCTCTAGCGCTGACGTGCGGCTCTCGCTGTGTCCCTGCCGGTCCATCTGGGGCTTCTCTTCGGCTCTGGCGATGGATTTCGGCGGCTTCGGCGACGCGCCGCCGGCTCAGGCACCCTTCGGGGGTGGCGCTCCTCGTGGGCCGTTCCCCAAGGCAGCGGCCGCGCCGCGGGGCGCGCCGTCGGCCACGGCGGGGCTCATGCTCCACACCACTCTCGAGACTACGGGTTTCGGAGACCTCGCCACGGCGTTGGTGGCTGGCGTCGGCGGCGACTTGAGCACCACCGTCACGGACTTCGTGGCCGTCCCAGAGCAGATCTTGGTCGACATGATCGGCCAGCTCGAGGTCGAGGGCGTTCCCGCGTCTGGCATCGTCCGCGGCCGCGCGGTGCGTGCGATTCGGGCCGTCTTCGACGTCGCGGGGCTGCCACCGCCAAGCTTGGGCGCGTCAATGCCCCCAGCTCCTGCCACGCGGCCTTCCGGGGCCACGCAGGACGAGCCGTCGCCAGGCGACAACAAGCGGCGGTTCTCGGATCTCATCGACCAGGCGGCGGAGGGCACCTTCAACCTTCTTTCGAAGGACAACGTTGCGGCGGCGCGCCTGAGGTACGTCACCGTCACGGGGGCCCCCCCTCCGGCGCACGCGCGGCCCTCGGCTGAGCAGATCTCGGGGCTCGCGGCGCTGCTCAAAGCCAAGGCTTCGCCCTACGTCGATTTCGGCGTGTTTGGGACGTACGGCCGCAGGAGGGCGAAAGCCAGGAAGTTCGAGGCCCAAACCTTCGTCGAAGGGCGCCTCGAGACGAGGATGCTGACGGGCCCTTCGAACTTCGAGGCATGGAGGTCGTCCTGGCTGGCCTTCAGCTCATGCGTGATCTGCCTCGGGGCCGCCCCGCCCGCGGTTTTGGACGAGTACGAAGAGGGCATCCGCCAGCTGTCCATCTTGTACCCGTCCTATTGGGGCGTCATCCTGAGGGCCGACGACACGGTCAGGTCCGAGAAGTGGGACGCGCTCCTGGAGGAGTACCTCGACGCCAACCCCGACGACGACCAGGCGTGGGCGTGCGTCATCCGCGCCTCTGCCTTCGGCGCCGAGCCGGCGGTCTCCAAGTTGGGCCATTGGTGGTGGATGCACGTCGGCGCCCCCTGCACTAAGGAGGGCGGCAAAGCCGGCGCTCTTGTCGACCGCTTGGAGGGCGCGCCAGCTGGGGCGCTACCGGACCCCACAGCCCCGCCGCCCCGCGCTCCGGGGGCCCGGCAGCGTGGCCCGCGGGGCGGCGGCGGCCCGGCTGGCGGCCAGCAGCGGGCGCAGCCTCCGCAGCGGCGGCAGCCGCAGCCACCAGGCCCGGCAAGGCAGGGTTCGGGCGCAGGCGGGGGCGGAGCCCCGGCCAATGACAAGTCCACCGAGGTGTGCAACCTCTGGAACAACAAACCCAACGGATGCAGGACGCCGTGCACGTGGGGCCGGCGACATGTCTGCCGTGTCTGCGGCGGCCCGCGTCGGGCCGTCGAGCAGCATTGAAGGGGGGCGCGGGCCCGGGGCCACGGGGGCAGCGCCCCGGGCCTGAGCGCCCCCCTTGCGTCGCCAGCGACGCCTCCCCCCGCGCACGTCGCTCCTGCGGCATCGCCGCCCCTGGCGGGGCTGGGCCCGCCGCCCAGCGGCGCGGCCGCAGGTCCCGCGGACGACGCTGACGCGGCGGTGGCTTTGCTAGCGCGCACCGCCTCCGGCCGCGTGCACCGGCACGTTCTCCGCGGCGGGGAGCAGGGGTCCGCCGCGCGCGTGAAGCGGTCGGAGGATGCCGCTTGCCAGGCGGGTTTGCGAAACCCGGGGAACCTATGGCGTGCGTGGCCTCTGGTCCACAATGGCGCCGATCGCTGATCTCATTGCTGAGCACCGTCAGCGGGAGCCCCTGCTACAAGGGCTGGCCGGCGCGTGCGGCGCCGAGCCGGCGCGCCCGCCGCCGCCGGCGGAATGCCTGCTGCCGCTGCGCCGCGCGCTCGCCCGGCACCTTGGCATCGGGGCAGCGGCGGCGGAGCGGCGCCACCCCGCCTCTTCGTGGCGACCTGAGATCGTGCGCGAGGTGCAGCGGCAGGCAGGGGGCCCTGACCGAGCCATTGCGGATTGGCTACTGGAGGGCGCGCCGATGGGGATCACGCGGGACATCCCCCCTGGCGGGCTTTTCCCCGCGGCGGAATCCGAGGCGTCAATGGATTTAGACGCGCTCCTCGAGCGCGCGGCCGACTTGGGGAACCACCCTTCCTTCTACGAGTTGCGCGGCCAGGATCGGCCGCCAGGCGTCGAGCAGCTCCAGTGCTTGGTCAACCAGGGGTTCGGGATCCTCTTCGAGGACCGCGCGGCGGCGGAGGCCTTCTACTCCACCGCCGTTTTCCCGGCGCCCCTCGGGAACATCGCTCGAACGAAGCCCGACGGCACGACCAAGCACCGCATCATCCAGGATCTGAAGGCGAACCTCGTCAACTCGGCGGTGACCCTCGCGGAGCGCCAGGTTCTGCCGACGATCATCGACCACGCGTTGGGCGTCGCCCTGCTTTCCTCCTGGGCTCAGGAGGGCGGTGTGTCCTGGACGCTGGTGTTGGACTTCGCGGACGCCTTCATGTCAGTGCCGTTGCACCCGGACGAGCAGCCGTTCAATTGCGCGCACGTCGGGCACGCATTGCGGAGGGACAGGCCGCCAGCCTACCCGCAGGAGGCGCGCGAGGGGCGATTCGTGGTCTGGCGGGTCCTGGGGTTCGGCGGCAAGCCCAACCCCGTCGTGTTCGGGCGCGTGGCGTCCTTCGCCGCACGCACCGCGCAGGCCCTGCTCCGGCCATTCGCGCGGTCGGGTTGTGGCCACGCTGCCGCCGCCGCTGGTCGCCTGCAGCTCTACGTCGACGACCCGGTTCTCACCGTGGCGGGCACGCCGGCAGCAGCGCAATTGGCGATCGACCTTGCCCTGACTTGGTGGCTCCTCCTCGGGGCGCCGCTCGCTTGGAAGAAGGGCGCGCTCTACGCGCGCGAGCACCTGTGGATCGGAGCCATGTTCATTCCGTATTCGCCCGGCGAGGTTCACGTCATGCTGCCCACGGAGTTCTTGGCAGATCTCTTCAGGCTCCTCGAGCCCTTCGCGGCGGGGTCAGGCCATGCGTCCGTGGCGGCTGCCCGCCGCGTCGTCGGGAAGTGCGCGCGGGTGGCCTACGTGGTCCCCGACGCGGCGCCCTTCGCGGCCGCTCTCTGGGGCGCCCTTGCTGGCGCTGCGGCAGCCGACCGGGAGGCACCTCCGGGTCGCGTCGCGTGCAGGAGGTTCGGGGCTGCCGCAAGGTGGATGCGGGCGCTCGTCAACCCTTCCGGTCTCGACCTGCTCCCCCTTCGGCGAGTCGTCAGGGCCCAGGGCGAGCAGCGGGGGCGCGCTTCCGACGCCGTGGTGAAGTTCGACGCTTCCCCGTGGGGCGGCGGCGCAGCGCTCTGCAGGCGCGGCGTCCCTGTGGAGTTCTTCGCCCTCACGTGGTCGGACGACGTCTGCGGTCTATTCAACGTCGGCACGGGCGACCCCAGGCACCAGTCTTTCTGGGAGTACCTCACAGTGTTCCTGGTGTTGTGCGTGTGGGGAGATTCGTTCCGTACCGAGGTCCTCACCATTGCGGGCGACAACGTCGCGGCTCTGGATGGGGTCCTCAACCTCCATGGCAAGGGCCTCCTCAACCGCATCACCCGTGAGATCGCATGGCGGCGCGCGCGGCGCCGGTGGGAGTATGTGGTCTCGCACTTGCCGGCGGAGCACAACGAGACCGCCGACGCGCTGTCGCGGTTGGCCGCGCCGGACCCCGCTGAGCTCCCGGCGGAGCTCACCGAGGCGAAACGGGTCGGCGCGCCCAGCGTCCCCGAGCTCTTCGTGACGATGAGGGCGCCCCCGGGCCTGCGAGCGCCGTGATTTTGATATAAACCGAGGGGTGCGTCTGAAAGGAGCGGCTGAAAAGACCATCCGAGCGCTCCCGATCGCCCCCCGACGGCCTTCGCGACGGCCCCCGGCGCGGCCCGGAGGCTTCCCAGCGGCGCCGCGCGGCGGCCGTGCCGCGGCCCGCCGGGAAGAAAAAAAGTATGGAAAAATATTCATACCTTTTTTCTGCCCGCGGCGGCACCCCCGGGCCTCGGCGGCGGGCCCGACGGGGAGCCCGGGGCGCCTCCGGGTCACCTGGAGGCGGCTCTGGACCGTCTCCGGGTCACTCGGAGGCGGCTCGGGGGCGCCTCCGGGTCACCCGGAGGCAGCTCTGGACCGCTTCCAAGTCGCCCGGAGGCGGCTCTGGGGCGGCCCCGGCCGAGGCCCAGAATAAAAGTCAAGACGGCGCCGTCTTGACTTTTATTCCGGGTCTCCGCCAGCCCCCCTTGGCGGCGCCCGGGGAGCCCATCTTGCCGCTCGCCGCTCGCGGACGGGGGGGTACCCTGGGGGGATTGTCGTCCCCGAATGCCGCAGCATCTCCCAGCAGTGGAGCCCCGCCACCCACCCTGTCGCGGGCCCGCGGCATGCTGCCGACATGGGGCTGGCACGCGCCCGCCTTAGTGTTCGGGGTGCGTCGGGGTCCCAGGTCTGGCCCTCTTCTTCTTGGCCCGGCACGTCGGCCTCCGTCTTGGCCGTTCCGCCGGGCCGGGCCCGCGGCTGGCTTGCTCCGGCATCCAGCCGTGGCCCGGCACGTCGGCCTCGCGCCGTTCCGCCGGGTCCGGCCCCCCTCTTGGCCCGGCACGTCGGCCTCCTTGGCCGTTCCGCTGGGCTGGGCCCGCGGCTGGCTTGCTCCGGCATCCAGCCGTGGCCCGGCACGTCGGCCTCGAGCCGTTCCGCCGGGTCCGGCCCCCCTCTTGGCCCGGCGCGTCGGCCTCCGTGGCCGTTCCGCTGGGCCGGGCCCGCGGCTGGCTTGCGCCGGCATCCAGCCGTGGCCCGGCACGTCGGCCTCGCGCCGTTCCGCCGGGTCCGGCCCCCTCTCGGCCTGGCACGTCGGCTTCCTTGGCCGTTCCGCCGGGCTGGGGCCCGCGGCTGGCTTGCGCTGGCATCCAGCCGTGGCCCGGCACGTCGGCCTCGAGCCGTTCCGCCGGGTCCGGCCCCCCTCCTGGCCCGGATGTCGGCCTGATTGGCCGTTCCGCTGGGCCGGGCCCGCGGCTGGGTTGCTCCAGCATCCAGCCGTGGCCCGGCACGTCGGCCTCGCGCCGTTCCGCCGGGTCCGGCCCCCCTCTTGGCCCGGCACGTCGGCCTTCTTGGTCGTTCCGCCGGGCCGGGCCCGCGGCTGGCTTGCTCGGGCATCCAGCCGTGGCCCGGCACGTCGGCCTCGAGCCGTTCCGCCGGGTCCGGCCCCCCTCTTGGCCCGGCCTGGCCGTTCCGCCGGGCCGGGCCCGCGGCTGGCTTGCTCCGGCGTCCAGCCGTGGTCCGGCACGTCGGCCTCGCGCCGTTCGGCCGGGTCCGGCCCCCTTGCGGATCAACCGAGGCGCGCGGCGCGGCACCGGCAGCAGCTGCGCCGCGGCGCCGGTCGCGCAGCGCCCGGCGGGGGGCCGCCCCGAGCGGCGGCAGCGGCGGCTTGCAGCAGCGTGAAGGGCAAGTTGCCAGCTCAGCGGCGGGCTCCCCCCCTTGCGCCGGGACGCCCCTGGCAGGTCAGCGTACCAGAGGGGTCGGCCGCCCGACCTCCAGTCGCCTGCTGCGCGCGACCGCGCGCTCCGCCGCCTCGCAGCCGACGTCTACGCGGCATCGTCGGGCGGGGTGGTGGAGGCGCGCCGCCGCAATGTCGCGGCGCTCCTGCGCGTTTGGGGCGACGACCCGCTGCCGCCGACGCCAGCCAAGGTGACGCGTCTGTGCGCCAGCCTCAAGGAGGGGGGCCACCGCACCGCAGATGCCTACGTGTCGGCGTACAGGGTCCTCGCGGAGCGCGCCGGCTTCACCTTGCAGGCCGATTTCGAGCGGGCTGCGAAGGACGGCTTGCGGTCCTGCTCGCGCGGCGTGGGCCCCGCCGTCAAGGCGCGCTCCCTTCCGTTCGAGCGCGTGGGCGACCTCCCAGGAGGCCGCGGCGCCTGGAACGCGGGGAGGCCCGTCGGCCCCAGGAACGCCATAGTGGCTGGGTCGTGGTGGATGACCCGAGAGATCGAGCTTTCCACGGCCAGAGCGTGCCTCATCGAGCTCGTGCGGGGCGACCGCCCTGTGGTCACATGGCATTTGCCGGCGTCGAAGACGGACGTGGCAGCGCTGGGCGTGGCGCGGACGCACGGCTGCTCGTGCACCCCCGGCCGGCCTCCACGCCCGTCGTGCCCAGCACATGCCATTTGGGACCAGATCTTGCTGCTACAGCGGATGTTCCCCGCGCGCTGGCGGGAGGGCGTCGCGGACCGCGACCTCCCTCTCTTTCCCACGGAGGCTGGGGGAGTGGTCTCCAAGGAGGCGATGACAGCGACCATCCACCACGCGGCCAGCTCCCTCGGCGTCCCAGCGGCGACGCCAGACGGCTCCGAGCGCGTCGGGGGCCACAGCCTTCGCCCCACTGGGGCGCAAGGCCTGGCACGCCTCGGAGTCGACCTGTGGGCAATTCAACTCCTGGGGCGCTGGGGCTCATCCGCCGTCCAGGGGTACGTGCGGGAGGCATCGCTGGACACGGCCGCTGAGTGGGCCAGGCGCGCCGGCAGCAGCCTCGACCTCGAGTCTGTGCTGGGCCAGGTCGCGGACCTGCGATCCGAGCTCGGGGAGCTCCGCCGCGGCCGGCCGACCCCGGAGGATCCCGTCGACATGGTGCTCGGCGAGGTGCGTTCCGAGCTGGGGCGCCAGTCGCTACGCTGCGAACTACAGGATGCGGTGATTCGCCGAGAGGCGGATGAGCAGCTGACGTCCACCTGCGCCAGCAGGAGCAGCCCGGTCGGGAAGGTGCTCAACCGCGAGTCCGGCGTCCTGCACGCTGTCCTCGTCGGGCCGGCCTCCATGCCCGCGGCTGCCTGGGTGACGCGGTGTGGCTGGAGGTCCGGGCTGGCTGCGCACGCCGTGGCCCCGGGTGAGCACCGAGTCGCTTGCGCCCGTTGCTTCAGGGACTGCGTGGAAGTGCCGGACGGCGGGGGCGATCGGGGGCCGGAGCCTCCACCGAGAGGGATGGAGCGCCCCGCGCCCGGCACGCCCGTCGATTTGGCATTCGGAAAATGAGCGGCTCTGATGCTCTTCTCGGGTGGGGGTGCCAGTGCCGAGTGCATTATGTTTAGTGCGAGTGGCGCTTGGGCACCTGCGGCGGGCATGCTCGCACCGTCCGCGGCCATTTTGGCTCTAGCGCTGACGTGCGGCTCTCGCTGTCCGCCCGCCCGCCCTGCTCGGTTTCGCTGCTGCGTGCCGCGGGGCGGGGGCCGGGGCCTCCACCGAGAGGGATGGAGCGCCCCGCGCCCGGCACGCCCGTCGATTTGGCATTCGGAAAATGAGCGGCTCTGATGCTCTTCTCGGGTGGGGGTGCCAGTGCCACAACAATTGTTTCCATTGAAGCAGCCGTGTCCGCACGCGCATGAACAAAGAAGGCGAAGTCAGCGCGTTCGTGCAGTATTTCCGCGCTACGCCTCCCCAGGCTTCTGTTGGAATGGCAGCACTATCAGTACAAATGATGTTGCTTTGTGAACATGCACTCTGAGCGTGCCTTGCCATGTCCTTGGGCCACACCTGCCGTGAGCGACTCCTCTGGTGGGGCCTTGTGCCGGGCCCAAGAGGTCAACAATGGAGGGGGTGGGAACTGCGCGGCGAAGGGCTGCTGCTTTCCCTCGGGCGCAGTTCTGGCAAAGTGAACAGGCGTCTTGAGCTGAGCTTTGCACGGCGCGCCTGCTCTAGGACAACTGCATTTGTCGCATCGCTTACGTGCGAATGAGGCAGTCCGTCTGGAAAAAGAACACCTTCCGTATCGAAGACGCCTACGGCAAATCACCGCCGTTCCCTGCCTTTTGGAAACGCCCATGCGGCCAAACGTTTGGCAGACGTTTGACCTGTATATGTATGTATGCATGTATGTATGTATGTATGTATGTATATATGTATATAAGCAGGTTTGTATGTGAGTATGTATGTATGTGTGCGTGCAGGTGTATATATATATATGTATGTATGCATGTATATGCATATGTACATGTATATATATATATGTATGCATGTACATCTTTATGTATGTATTTGTGTATATTTATATGTGTACGTATATGTATATGTATATGTATGCCTGCATGCATGTACTTAATTATGTATGTATGTATGTATGTATGTATGTATGTATGTATGTATGTATGTATGTCTGTATGTGTATATATGTATATAGGTATGTCTGTATGTATGCCTTACATATACACATATCAATATCTGTATATAATGTCTGTAACCTATACACATATATCGACATATAGGACATTCGGGGGTTAAACGGAAGTGACCCCAACCGGGAAATCGGTTTCGGTTTTGGTTCGTGTCGTGCGTGCGCGCGAGGCGCAGCTGCGCGAGTTCCTGCACTTGTAGAGGCCACATGGAGCGCAAAAGGTCGCCCGCCCCCCCACAGCCGGGCGCGGCCCCCGATGGTTCTTCCGCGGGTTGTCCCGATGGTTGTCCCGATGGTTGTCCCGATGGTTGTCCCGATGTTTGTCCCGATGGTTGTCCCGATGGTTGTCCCGATGGTTGTCCCGATGGTTTTCCCGATGGTTGTCCCGATGGTTGTCCCGATGGTTGTCCCGATGGTTGTCCCGATGGTTTTCCCGATGGTTGTCCCGATGGTTGTCCCGTTGGTTGTCCCGCTGGTTGCTTCGATGGTTGTCCCGACGGTTGTCCCGATGGATGTCCCGATGGTTGTCCCCGATGGTTGTCCCGTTGGTTGTCCCGATGTTAGTCTCGATGGTTGCCACGATGGTTGTCCCGATGGCTGTTTCCATGGTTGTCCCCATGGTTGTCCCGATGGTTGTCCAGATGGTTGTCCCGATGGTTGTCCCGATGGTTGTCCCGATGGTTGTCCCGATGGTTGTCTCGATGGTTTTTCCGATGGTTGTCCCGTTGGTTGTCCCGATTGTTGTCCCGATGGTTGTCCCGATGGTTGTCCCGATGGTTATCCCGCGGGTTGTCCCGATGGTTGTCCCGATGATTGTCCCGATGGTTGTCCCGATTGTTGTCCCGATGGTTGTCCCCATGGTTGTCCCCATGGTTGTCCCCATGGTTTTTCCGATGGTTGTCCCGATTGTTGTCCCGATTGCTGTCCCGATGGTTATTCCGATGGTACTCCCGATGGTTTTCCCGATGGTTGCCCCGATGGTGTTGTCCCGTTGGTTGTCCCGTTGGTTGTCCCGACTGTTGTCCCAATGGGTTTCCCGATGGTTGTCCCGATGGTTGTCCAGATGGTTGTCCCGATGGTTGTCCCGATGGTTGTCCCGATGGTTGTCCCGACGGTTGTCCCGATGGTTGTCCCGATTGTTGTCCCGATGGTTGTCCCGATGGTTGTCCTGATGGTTGTCCCCATGGTTGTCCCGATTGTTGTCCCGATGGTTGTCCAAGTGGTTGTCCCGATGGTTGTCCCTATGGTTGTCCCGATGGGTGTCCCGATGGTTGTCCCGATGGTTGTCCCGATGGTTGTCCCGATGGTTGTCCGGATGGTTCTTTCGATGGTTGTCCCGATGGATGTCCCGATGGTTGTCCCGATGGTTGTCCCGATGGTTGTCCCGATGGGTTTCCCGATGGGTGTCCCGATGGTTGTCCCGATTGCTGTCCCGATGGTTGCCTCGATGTGCCAATGGTTGTCCCGATGGTTGTCCCGATGGTTGTGCCGACGGGTCTAGATATACAGAGATATAGATGGATTGACAGATATATAGGTAGGTGCGGAGATTTATCTATATATATATATATATTGACATGTATACGTCGAAATATAGGTAGGGATATGGGTACTCCGAATCGATATGTATATATATATATATATATATATATATATATACATGTCGAATGATAGACAAGACAGTTGAAGAAAACAGCAAGGAACTTTGAGCCATTGCAACTCGACCGCCTCCCTCTTCCTCCCCAACCTCCTTATCACCCGTAGGGTGGTCCTATCGGTGTGTGTATATATATATACACATGTGCTGGACCGCGTGTTCCCCCCAGCCGTTGTGGAGCCCCGTGGGGGACCAATTGGGAGAGGAAGCTAGTGGAGGAGGAGAGGGAGGAGAAGGAGGACGAGGAGAAGGATGGGGATGATGAAAACGATGAGGCCTCTTAAGGTCCTGATGGGATCTCGTGGGGGCTTGCTGGGAGTCTCTTGGGGGCCTCTATGGGGCCTCTATGCCTCCTGGGGCCTCTCGAGGGCCTCCTGGGGCCTCTCAGGGGCCTGGGAGCCTTTAAGGGATCTCTTAGCCATGGGAGTCCGCCTTGGGGCCCTCTCTGGGCAGTCGTTGGTCCCCCTTTGGGCGCTTGAGTGCCGTCTTGGAGGTCTTTGCGGCCGTCTTGGGGTTGTCTTGGGGGCATCTAGGGCCGTCGTGAGGCCTTCTTGTGCCATCTTGCGAGCCTCTTGGCGGCCTCTGGGGTCTTTTTGGGGCAATCTTGTGGCGTATGAGGCCGTCATGGAGCCTCGGAAGCCCGAAAAGGCGAGAACGCTAAACTCATTGAAACACAAGCGGGACATCACTGATTTCGGCCTCCTGGAGGTTCTTTTGGAGCCTTCTGGGGGCCTCTTGGCGGCCTATTGGGCTGTCTGGAGGACACGGGGCCATCTCCACCATCTTAGATGCCAGCCATCGGAGCCGTCTTGGAAGCCACCCTGGGGCCGTCTTGCTCGGGAAATCCGATGGGACACTCAACTTCCCGGGCTTTTCGGGTGGCCGGCGGGCTGGGCCAGAGGTTAGCGGGAAAATTTAGGAAGGGTCAAGTCAACCAAACGTCCAGGACGTGGTGTACCCTTGTGGCAAGCAACGGATGGTGGTGGATCGAAGATGCCTACGGCGAATCACTGCCGCCCCCTCCCTTTTGCAAGAGCCTGTGTGGCCGAACGTTGCCGCCAGAGCTTTGCCAAGCTAATTATCAGACTACGTGTTCGCCCAGCCATTATGGAAACCCTTCGGAGAACATGCCGTGGAGTAAGAAGAAGAGGAAGGAGGAGAGGGAGAAACAACAAGGAGGAGGAGGAGGAGGAGGAGGAGGAGGAGGAGTGCTTATGATGATGAAGATGACGATGATGAGGAGGAGGATGAGGAGGAGGAGGAAGATGAGGAGGAGGAGGAGGAGGGATGAGGAGGAGGAGGAAGAGGAGGAGGAGGAGGAGGAGGAGGAGGAGGAGGAGGAGGAGGAGGAGGAGGAGGAGGAGGATGCTCTTGCGGGCTGTTTTTTTGGAGGATGTCCCACGCGAGGGTGCCAGTTTGGAGAGCGTCGCCGAATTCCCTGGATTCGCCAGATTTTGCCAAATGTCGTTGGACTTCCCGGATCTCGCCTGAAACGAAAAAGGAGGGCCTCTGAGAGCCTCGTCGGGGAGGCTCCCAGCGCCGGTTTTTCTGAGGATGTCCCGCGCGAGGCCGCTGGTTTGGAATTCGTCGCCGGTTTCGCCGGATTTGCCGGATTCGCCAGATTTCGCCGGATTTCCCAGATCGCGCCTGAAATGGAACAGGAAGGCTTCTATATATAGAGCTGAGAACCTCGTCGGGGAGGCTCCGGGGATTTGTTTTCTGAGGGTGTCTCATGCGAGGGCGCCAGTTTGGAATTCGTCGCCAGATTCGCCGGATTCGCCAGATGTCGACGGATTTCGCCGGATCTCGCCTGAAACGGAACAGGAGGGCCTTTGAGGCTCGGGGGGCTAGTTTTTCTGAGGATGTCCCACGCAAGGGCGCTGGTTTGGAATTCGTCGCCAGATTCCCGGGATTTGCCGGATTTCGCAGGATTTCCAGGATCTCGCTTGAAACGGATTTCGTCTGAAACGGAATAAGAGGGCCTCTAAGAGCCTCGTCGGGGAGGCTCTGGTTGCTGGTTTTCTGAGGATGTCCCACGCGATGGCGCTGGTTTGGAATTCGTCGCCGGATTCGCCGGATTCGCCAGATTTCGCCGGATTTCCCAATTAAACGGAACAGGAGGGCCTCTGAGAGCCTCGTCGGGGAGGCTCCGGGGGCTGGTTTTTGTGAGGATGTCCCAG